CCCAACACCCAAGTGGGCGCCCTGTTGTACAACTTATATAGATATGTGGTTTATATACACATATTTGTGTCAATTTTAGAATTTATTACATTTAATAATATTGTAACATATTTTTTTATATACAAATATATGACATATTGCATGTTGAGAATCAACTTGTTCAAAATTTCAAAATTCAAACCATACAAAATTTAGAAGTCTAATAGGATATATATTAGTAGTAGTCTCCAACTCTTCATATTTCATAATAAGTGAAAAGGTTTAGGAAGCTTCTTCAAACCACAAAAAATACTTTTGATTCTCAGAAACAGGTATAGCTAAGAGATTGAGGGTTTATGAAATTTTTCTTTTAACTTTTGGGGGTTGAAAATAACCCCCATAACCTATTTTCCCTTTTGGGTATTTAAAAACAAAAAAAAAGCTGACGTCCTTGGACGCCCGCCTGGGTGCCGGCTTAGGCGCCCACCTAGCCCGCCTGGGCGCCCGCCCAGGTACATCTGCCCTTGTAGGGCCGCTTGGGTCTGGGCGTGCGGTATTTTGGTTCAAGCCACCTAGCGGGCGCTTAGGCCGGGCGCACTGTTTTTTAAAATAATGTTATGGACTGTAAGTTAGGGTATCGACTGTAAGTCAGATTATGGGCTATAAGTCAGGCTATCGACTGTAAGTTAGATTATGGATTGTAAGTCAGACTATTGATTGTAAGTCAGATTATGGACTATAAGTCAGACTATCGCCTGTAAGTCAGATTATGGACTGTAAGTCAGACTATTGACTATAAGTCAGATTATGGACTGTAAGTCAGACTATCGACTGTAAGTCAGATTATGGACTGTAAGTCAGACTATCGACTGTAAGTCAACTTATCGACTGTCGGTTAAGCTATCGATCGTCAGTTAGGCCATCGACTGTCAATAAGGCTATCGACCATGAGTTAAGCCATCGACCATCAGTCAGGCCATAGACTGTCAGTGAGGTACTCAACCGTTTGTGAGGCTATCCATCATTTGTTAGGTTATCCACCGTCTCGAAGCATATCAATTTTGAAGTGTTGATCTACGAGATGATTGTTGGAAAATCGCTGAAAGTAACAACCCATGATTTTGTAAGGCCAGATCAGTTTTGAAGATGCAAGTCATTTAAGATGTTAGCAGAGGTTCCAATTTCTTTGTAACTTGGAAGGTATGTTTTGTACAAACCTTTGGAGTTTGTCTGCTTGCCATATATTTGTTGATTTTATGGTTGATCATGTCACGTGCAGATTTTTTGTAGACTTCGAAAGAAGCAAAGGCCTTACGCTTAAGTGACCGATGTATATAGTTTATTATGATCTCCGAAGTCAGTGTAGTAGGGGATGATCTGAAGAGCCACTTGAAATGTTGTTCAATTTTGAAGCTTGTTTTTGGGACCCTACAGAATGGTGGGGGTGTCATTGACCTGTAAAAGGACGACCCCCATTGTCAGGACTCTTGGCACAAGGACAACTGAATTAAATTCATGTCCGGTGAGGTCCTTATGCCCCCGATATCTTGAGATATTTTTGTTACTAAAGGCATGTATTGTATGAGATTTATGGTAAGGTTCCATGACCTTAAGAGGCCCAAACTTGGACCTAGTTCTCTTATGTGTGTTTTTGTGGGCTATGTTGAGCACAACACAACATATAGAATTTTGGACCTGGAGTCAAACGTGGTGATAGAGTCCAGGGATGCAAAATTTTCTACACACACATTCATTCGTGAGCAGGATAATGAATATAAAGTCCGATATTGTGAATGTAAAGTTGGTGAGCATGGAAACCTTGAGCACTTTGAACCCAAGAGAAGTATGAGAATCAGGAAGCCAACTGGTTTTGGTCTTGATTTACAGTTGTATATTTTGGACTAGAACTTTTAAGAAGCAATGTCTTCACATGATGCTCCTTTTTGGAGAGAGGTTGTCAACAATGAGATGAAATCAATATTGGAGAATGATACTTGGATATTGACATATTTACCTCCTGGTGCTAGGCCCTTAGGATGTAAATGGTTTTTCAAAAGAAAAATAAAGGTGGATGGTACCATTGAAAATATAAAGCAAGACTGGTTGCGAAACAGTTTATACAAAGGCATGTGTTAATCTCTTTGATGTCTATGCACTGTTGCTTGTATTCTACCATTCAAGTTCTCCTTGTTCTGAACGTTGTATACCATCTAGAGATTCATAAGATGTATGTCAAAGCTGCTTTTCTCCATGGTGAACTAGATAAAGAAATTTATTTTAATCAACCTGAGGGATTTGTCCTTAAGGGACAAGAGCACAAGTTTGCAAACTTGTGAAATCCCTATACGGTTTGAAGCAAGCCTGCAAGCAATGGCATAAAAATTTAATAGAATATTTTATCACATGGATTTCAGATTAGTGATGTTGATACGTCTGTGTACGCCAGGGCTTGTGATAGTGCAGTAGTTATAATTTGCTTGTATGTAGATGATGTGCTCATACTAGGCAGAAATATTGCATGCATCAAGGACAAAGAATTTATTGTCTTCTGAATTTAACATGGGGCCAGCTGATGTGATACTTGGAATTAAAATAATGAGACATCCGACTGGGTATGTTTTAACCCAAAGCCACTATTTAGAGCAAGTGCTCAAAAGCTTTGATCACTTTGATTCCAAGCTAGTTTCAACCCCTTATTATGCTCACATTAAACTCGGAAGAATTGTGAAGGTTTTGTTTCCTAATTTGACTATGCTAGAGTAATTGGATGTATGATGCATGCAATGTCATGTACTTGTACAGATATAGCCTTTGCTGTGGGTAAACTGAGTAGAAATATCGATACCCATGTTAAGAGCATTGGATGCGGTCTTTAGGGTCCTAAGATATTTGAAAGGAGCTATAGATCTTGACCTACATAATGTGAGCGATCCATTGTATCAAAGGTACAAAGGTGTTTTCTGGATTTTTATGAATCTATGACTTTTAGATGTATCTCCACTTGTGGTGGGGGTGTATTTTTGGGATTCCAAGAGGTAGATTTGTATCTCTAACTGATTGGAGAAAATTGCCATGACCCATGTGTGAAGGTTAAGTGGCTAAGGACCTTGTTGGGAGACGTACCACCTGTTCAAAGCCCAGGCCTGCAGTCTCATACGGTGTGATTGTGAAGTTTTGTATACCAAGCAAATGGTTAGGGATTTACTTCGAGAAATCCGGTTATACTCGATTGAGGCACAATCTGTTGAGACTTATGCTTAAAATGAAGTCATAGTTGTACTCCATATCAACGATACCTAGCACTTGGTAGAATGCTTTATGTGGTCTTGTAGGACCACTCTCTTTTTCCCCTCCTTTTTGCTCTTCTTCTCTCATGCATTTATTGCTCACCCCACTTCCCTCTCCTTTTGTGCCACGTCTATAGAACATGGCACCCCTCCCTCTCTACCTGACTCTCTTGTTCACTCTCCTCTTGACACCTTCTTTTAGTGTTCTATTAAAATATCTTATAACTTGTATTAAAGGTCTTTTTGGAAGAGAGAAAAGAGAGGCGGTACAAATGAGAAGAGTTCTTAGCCAAAGGAGAAACAGTGAGGCACGGGGCACAAAAGGAGAGAGAGAGAGCTACCTGATGGGTGAGTTTTCAAGCCTAGAAAGAATACAGTGAGGCATACTCTCTCTCTAGTAAGAGACAGAATTGATTTGAAGCTATGTTCTCACAATTTTTTCAAGTAACATTTTTTGTTAAAAATGTCTTTTAATGTACCGTGTGAGAAACGTTTTGCGCTTCTTTTTCCATATCGAAGTGTGTGTTCTACCGATTGGATGATGTTTTTCTTGTGAGAGAAGTCTTGATCCGATTGATGTATCTTATATAATATCAATTAGAAAGACATATCAAATTAATAGGCTGTGGTTTTTTACGAGTCTCTTGAGTGTGCAACTTAGGGATTCAAGAATTTACTTTTTGATCTTGCTGTATACTGGGAGTGTGCTCACCGGGACCCGTTTGCACCTCGGGATTTTACTGAGGCGGGGTTGTTTAACACTTTGAAAACAACGAGAGCACCTCGTGCCTCCAGATCCCCTGTTTTTGGGTTCCGTGTTTGGGAATTCATGTCCACCGTGATGTTTCGAAAACCGTGGTGAGATCCCCATATAACTAACAGTGTGATGTGCACAGGAAGAGTTCTGAAAATCACAACTTCTCCCTCTCCAAGTAAATTTTAAGCTCAAAACTTCCTTTTTATCCAAAAAATTATTGTGTATTGTAATTTATAAGTGGTTATCTTAAGCCACAAATCAGACTGGTTGCTGCTTTTTAGGTTCCTGGATTCTTTCCATCTTTCTTGTAAGACACCACATGGACCATAACTACCATGGGGAAGGGTTTAAGAAGAGGCTCTTAGTAAGAGTCTGGATAGGTTACTTGAACTATTCAAGCTTTTTATACAAGCTACCTATTACTGGGGTAATCCATACACACATTGGTTTGAGGTAGCCTTTGGGAGCTAATTGTATGTGTGAGAGATGTACTCTTAGGCTGTTTCTTTAATCGTTATTTTCATTTTATATTTGGCCATTTTAGTCTTGTATAGTTGCAGTTATGGGATTCATCCTTTGCTTTTTAATTAATGAACTTTCACCAAAGTTCTATTTCAAAGTTTAACACAAAGGCACTGTTGATTGCTCTGTGACCACTAGAAGAGTCTGCGTGTCTTGCAATTATATCAGGCTAGTTTATTTATTATACTTACTATCAATTTAGTTATCGATGGATACTGTACTAGGATTCCTTTATTTAATTTTCCTATATTCACATTCGTAATTGAAATTTTATTATCTTAGATGATTCTAATCTCTAATGTCCCCTGAAATTGAATATGAAAAGCAATTATTAGTGTTTTTACAACAAGTTTTCAAATGGTTAATTTTTTCTTTTTGCTTTGAACTTTTTATATATTTCTATATGTTACTTGTACAAAGAATTGTTTTTGATTTCACGGACTCATGGTTCCCAGAAAAAGAAAGGCTATCGGTTTGGATGATCTTATTACTGATTATTACAAGGAAAAAAATAAAGTATTCGAAAGAGACTTGGCACGAAAGAAATCGTATAAAGGTGATTCAGATGAGGAATGTGACAGAACAGGGAAAAACAAAGAGGCTTTGTTATCCAAGTTCGTTGATGAGTGTGAAAAACAGGTGAGAAACTTCTACATGTCTTTGTCAATTAATTTGTTTTCTTATGCGACAATCAACACAATTTTGTATCTAGGTTCATGAAATTGGAACAGATGATGAGATTTCTCTATGGGGGCTTCAGGTTTTTGGACTTCAGGTAAATGAAAAAACACCAAAGTTGTTCTCTCTTAATCTTTGATAGTGACAAAATGGAATTTTGCAAAAAGTGATCTTTATCTCTAATATGAACTGTAGAAAGCTCGTCCATCACCAGTTCAACCTGGGCCAGACACTTGTGCTCTTTTGCAGTCTCTCTCTGACAATGAGCTCAATTCATTGCTGGGCATGAATTCTGAGAAAGGTTTGTAATTTCTGATTCATACTTTTGAGATAAGGTAACATGTACAGTCCTTGACATGCTTTTGCCATTTTTTATTTCAGCTTCTAGAACTCTGCTTGATATTGCTTGTTTTGTTTTTCATTATTCAGATTAGGATTTCTCCTTATATTCTTGAAAATGATTATTAGTTCTCTCTGTTGCTTATAGTAGAATTCATCATAATTTTCCTTCCCTTTTTATCCACAAAGCTTAAGTCACTTTATAAATTACTTTTTCTATTTAACACTCCTAGAACCCTTTTGGTTGCCAGATTCAACCCCATATATTTCGAATGATGTCTCTGAATGATATTGGGGATATGCAGATTGTGATGCATAGTGAACACATGATGCTTTAGCAGATATAAACTGAAATATAGTGATCTCATAAAATTCAGAAAAGAAAGAAATGGCAAGTGTTTAAAGGGCTTGATTTCAGACCTAATATCTTCTCGTCATGCTTGTGCCTTTGTAATCAATAGGAATATAGTTGATTTTTTTTTTTTTGTGTGTGTTTTGGGGGGTAGTGATCGATCTGAAATTGAGAAAGATTAAAAAATAAATAAAAAGAAGAAACTTGAGAGAAGTGGAAAACTCATATAAAGGAAGAAAAGAAACTAACCTACTTTGGAGTTCATCAAATCGTGGGAAATGGTGAAGGAACCCCCATGCCTTAAAAATCAGGTTAAAAGATTAGATGGCAATTGTAAAGAATGGATCTTATTTTTGAAAGACTTTAGTTTCTACTTCCTAGCAATTGTGAAATTCCCATAACATGTACAGATTCACTTTATCTTAGAGAAACAACTGAGCTATATTGAGTCCTACAAGGATAAATGACTATCTCTAATCCTGCAATTTTCAAGCTCAGATTCCTCATTTAAAAAATATCTATGGAGGAGGTATGCTCTTGGTTGGTTTTATGTGATTCATTGAAGTGATGTATGTCAAAGCTGGTTCAAAATACCCAGGCAAATAGATGCTACCTCAGGCATAAATGACCCAAAAGGGGGTATTCTATTTGCCTCGGTATTTTGAAACAACTTTGACATACATCACGTCAGAAAATTACATAAAACCAACCACGAGCATACCTCCCCGGTATTTCTTTTTTTACTTTGGGGGTTAGAATACCCCCTTTTCATGGGTCAAAATGACCCAAAATGTCCCCAACAAAAATAAAATAAAATTCTGCCATTTTTATGTAAGTTCCTAGGCACCGCCTAGATTGGTTGCTGGATGCCCGCCTAGGTACTTCCACCCAAGGAGGCCTGCCAAGACCTAGGCGAGACAGATTGTGGCCTCTTGGGCCCCTAGGTAGCTGCCAAAGCACTGGTTGGGCTGTTTTTTGAAACAATGCTTTTACTGTTTAGTGCTTACGACTTTACATCGATTTCCTAATTACCAAGTTTGATAACATGCTCAATCTATTCATCAACTATACTTACCTGAATCGCGTACCAAGGTTGTGTTTCTGATTCGGAGTCGCGGTTCCCAAGATGAAACCCGAATTTGAAAGATAGGAATCATGTTTCCCTGTTTCATGGAACGCGTTCCAAATTATTATTTGAATCTCGATTTTTGGAAGGTTGGAATCTAGATTCCATATCACATAATTTGTGTCATAGCTGTACAACAATGCGATTCAACGTGTGCGAGACGATGATTCCAAGTTTTTAGAAATAAAAAATCCATGTTGTTTGGAAGCGAGTTTCACATCATTAAAAGGCGCAGTTCTTAAATACACCAAACAATGCTTCGATCAACATTGAATCAAGTTCTAATGAAAAGGGATCAAGATTCAAATGCAAATCTTGAAAGAAATATGTTTGCAAATTATATCTTGTGGGAGGAGCTTCAGGAACTGATTCTATGTTATCAGAGGAGTTCTAGGAACCTTTTCGTATCATGTTACAATTTTGTGCAAAGTCAAATACCCTTGATCTGGGTTATAAGACTGTGACATTGTGAGAGCCAAAAAGCCTCAATAATTTTTTGAGATGAATCCATGTACAATGATATTTGCTAACTTATCCAACAGATTTATCAATTTATAAATCACGAAGTGGGTACCAGTCCCACTTGAAGGTAAGATTTTTGGGTGGCAGCCCCATCTCAAGGTAAGACGTTCATATATGATGCTTGCAATAACCAAATGTTTATTATTGATCATTTATTGTAAAAACAAAAAAGGAAATGTGTTAATGGTGATCGAAATTCATGACCATTTGCAGTCTTTGGATTCTAAGAAAAATACAACATCTTAGTCTTTCTAACTGATACCAAGCTATGATATTATCTATGGTATTTGCTTGGTTTTACTTTTACACAACTAATTTGGGTCAATCTATGGTATCATCTATGTCTATCTCCAATCATCATCTTTTGTCGCAAACTACTAATCTCCCATACTGGTTGGGATGGGTGCATGATTCTTGAATTGTGGGCATCTCGATTCCCAATTGATGGGGACAATAATTCCAGTTATGTAGGAATCATGATTCCTATTTCGTTGATTCACGATTCCAGACGTCACTGAACTGCGTGGGGTCATGTACGATTCCTGAAAGGTAAGAGACTCGATTCCAACATGATAGGATACCGATTCCTACAAATAACAATCATGGCTCTTGTTTTATTGGATCGCTATTCCTATATTCCAATTATTGGGAATCACACCGTCGATGGTTTTCATTGTACGGACAACGATTTTGAGGTTAGAAATCATCTGGCACATGAGATTCCGATTCCTGAAACGAATGGGAATCGCAAGCGTTCCCAACAACTATACATCAAACTGAATAATAAACAATGATCCCAAGACCATTACTTCAAATCGATTCCTGCTCTAATGGTTACTATTCTCTTCTTTAAAGAGATAGTGCGGTTGCTTGGGCTTCCCAAGACCATTATTTCAGACCGTGATACTCTTTTTCTCTGTCATTTTGGAGGACCTTATGGGAGAAATTGGGTACTAAGTTGCAATTCAGCAGTGCTTATCATCCACAGACAGATGGCCACGCCGAGGTGATCAATAGAAGTGTGGGCAACATGCTAAGGAGCTTGGTTGGAGAAAATGTGAGTGTCGGATTTATGTTACCACTAGCTGAGTTTGCTTATAATAATTCTTCAAATCAGTCCACTGGGAAGGTTTCTTTTATAGTGGTTATGGTATGTCTACTTTACATTTTTATGATTTAACTCCTTTACATGCACGTGAAACTGTAGATACAGATGCTGCGAATATGCTTGAATATATGAAGGAGTTGCACAAGAATATCCGTAGAAAGCTAGAGGAGAGCTATGACAAGTATCAGGGTGTTGTGAATCGTCATCGTCGTGAGCAGTTGTTCGATGTGGGAGATTTTGTGATGGTGTATTTGAGACCTTAACGGTTTCCTATGTGCACCTATGGAAAGCTTAAAGGCAAGAAGATTGGACCTTGCCGGATCAAAAAGAAGATTAATGACAATGCTTATGAAGTGGAGCTACCGAGCGTATGAAATATCTCTCTAATCTTCAATTGTGGAGATCTGTTCATGTTCCATGGTGATGCTGACCTGACGGAGTCGAGTCTTCTCCAATCCAGGGAGGATGATGTCAATTAAATTCAGAAAATTTGATTTATATCACACTTCATTTTACTTTATTTTTATTAGTGGTAGGGTTGTAATTTTTTTATTTTTGTTCGCCACCTTTTTTAATTAAGGCATGAGGGGACTAAAGGAGAATTTATTTAATGAATAGGGGATAGGATATTCATTTCTATATTTTGATAGGTGGGGTAGACGAAGATAAGGAAAGTAGAGGTTAACATGAGGGGTAAAGATATCCCTACATTCTTGGGATCGATTTATGGGATATGGGTCACAGATATTAAAAGAAAGAGAGAGAGAGAGAGAGAGAGAGAGAGAGAGAGAGAGAGATTGATGTGGTGGAGAGAGAGAGTTGTCCTTTTCTCTTAGTTTCTTTTTTGTTTTTTTTGTTGAACTTTGTATTAAAAAGGGGGGACGTGCCCATAGAAAGACTTGGTAGTTTTTTGTAGAGAGCCCATTCTTATCAAAGAAGAAGGGGTTTCTTCTCCCTTTGGGCTTGATTTACTGCCACTTTAAATTCTCCATTGTTGCTGATTGTTTTTGCGTTTGAAGACGGAAAGAAGGCTGAATTTAATTTCTGGGCTCCTTTCGCATCAATTGTGCTACTCTAAGCAATATTTTATATAAAATTAATATACAAAACTATAGTTTATTAGAAGGAAAAAAGTTTATATAAGGTTGCAACCTTAAAAATATAGAATTAAGGTGCATTTAAAAAATCCATCGTAAAATACTATTTTGAAGTTGGAAAAACCTCTAATTGATCATTTCCACATCGAGATGTATGAATATGAAAAAGAAAAAAGATTGAGTCCCTAAAATAGTGCATCTTGCAACATATTATCTGGACTGTCAATTTTCAATATTTTTATGTGTTCATAAATCTACTTGATTTGAACCATTTTTTGAGTCTAAAATTTTATAATTAGGGATGAAAATAGATTCTCAGGACATCCTATGATTTTTTATGCCAAAATTACATCTTATGATGAAATTTGATGGTGCACCTTACTTTGATGGTTTAAGGTTGCAACCTTATGTAAACCACACCCTTATTAAAAACCTTCTAATTTATTTTAAAAGAAATGAAATCATGTGCGGAGCACGTGGATTCCGCTAGTAGTTCTAAATATTAATTATGCTAGAAATGTGATGTCAGCTATATTTATTTTGCTGCTTGCTGATTTTTTGGTTCTTGGCGAAATCTGTTTTCTGCTTGTCAAAATCTATACTCTTTTTTATTGGATTGGTAAACTCTATTATTCTATTTGTTATATTTGTAAACATTTTCTTGTAAGTATACTTAAATAAATTGTATGATAAATGACTTGTGATCACGTGACCTAATTGTTATGGACATCTCATTGGTAAATTTTACTTGCTCCAAAAAGTCATTCCTTGCTTGAAAGAGCAGAAAGTCATAAACTCTACGCTAGAACCTCTTCATGACATGTAGTGGTATGTAGCATTTTCTATTTGAAAGGCCTTTATATTGTGTAAAATCTGAAGGATATGTAAGTTAGACATCTGCACTCTTTAATGAAATGATTGCCCATGTGGCTTTCAAGTTTGGCTAGGATTATGAGTTATTTATCTTGATCTTGTGCTCTAATGGATATCAGTTGTTGTGTGACAGCGTGAAACTCTTCAGGTGTAAGTGTGTGGCATGGTTACCTTTTCATTTTCACCAATGCTTGGAAGTTTTTAGGCCTTTGAAGTGTTAGTGCTTGATTTAGTACTAGTGTTTTTTTTTTTTTTGGTGGTTCTTCTCCCTTGTACCCAGATGGGTATCAAGGAACAAATGAGAACGACTAGTCATTTTCCCTCTATGTTGACCCTATAAGATCAAGTGACATAATTAGTTGCTAAATAGTAATCGAGGCTTATTTATTGCATGCACAATTCACATATATTCAACATAATTTACTGTAGTACAAAATATCAGTTGGTATTCTTTTGGGAAGACAATGTGTTTTTCATGTATTTACAAGTTACAATAGTCACGGCATTTTATTAGACATTGATACTGTAAGAAATTCTTCATCAAAATCTATTGCCTATAGTTTTTATAGATTGGCGAAGGTAGAAGTCTTGCAGGTATCATGTTTATTCAATGAAATCGATGTCTTTCCATAGTGATTTAGTGGTAGTTAATTAGACTGCGTATAAAACATAACATTTTAGAAATAATGCTTTTCAGGTTTTCAATCTTTGTAGAGGTTCAAGAATCATCTTGTCTTTATGTAAATCATGCTCTCATAATATTTCTTCTGAAATTAGTCTGGAAAAGATACACTGCATATGTTGCTGTAATGAAAGTTCTATCCTTTGACATTTTTACTTAGTAGTCTCCACATTATTCTTTCAGGATTGAACTTCCTAGAAGGTTTGTTACTAAATGGATGGCTTTCAAGGTTTGCGCTTACGTCTGGATATCTTGAAGATTCTATAGCTTCTTGGGCCTTCTATTTAAGTGAGTTTGGACATACTAAGCAAGGCTTTCCACTACATTTCTTTTTAAAATTTTATTCTGTCATTGATTTTTGAATATCAGTGTTGTACTCTACAAGTGATGCATTGCAGACATCTGCTTGTGATCTTTGGTCGACAATTCTTATGTCTGATGCCAATGTAAGTACTCCTTAAAATGTCTGTACTATTGTGTGCCTTTTCTTATTATAGCAAAACATTTGCATTCCATAAGTGCATTTGAGGTTTTTCTTGAGGTACAAATCATATTCTACTTCTGGACCTTATACAGAGTATTACTCTCTATCAGGATGGTCAACCATTAGTTAGGTTAGATTGGATTCCAAGCCATTCACATCTAAAAGAAGCTCTGGACATATATGGATTTCTCAGAGACGTCTCTCTTACAAATTATGGGGTCTCGAATTTGGAGCTCAGTGGTACGCTATGTTCCATGTGGATAGAAACCTGTATTGTATGCAACGAGCCTATCTTGTATCATCATCATCATCATTATCATCATCATCCGAGCCTTATCCCATCTATTTTGATTGGGCAGCTAGTGCAAAACTTTGCCACATCTTTTCATGAATCCTGAACCAACAACCTTATCTTGTATACTTGAAGAATATTTTGTTGTGTCTTAAGAAATTCACTCTTACCCTGAATTTGATGAGGTTTTATGGTTCTTTCGATTATTCAACTTGATATCTCGTTCTCTAATTCTTTTTTGTTTGTTAGAGCAGCAGCCTCATTTAATATTCAGTAACTAATACATTACCTTTTAAATCATTAAATTTATGAAGTTTGCTAGGTCAAATAAAAACAGCATAAAAACTTATTCAAATCAAATATAAAAACATTTATTAGAAATTTCCGTAGCATCACATTTTTCTGTTAAAAATGTGCGGAGCTTGTTGTTTTATCATGCAGAGCTGAGGAATTTTGGAGTAAGGGTGTGGAAATATGGGTCCCTGCGGCAGCAAATCAATTTACACATACGTGACCAACGCATATGGTTATAGATACATGTATGCATACCTACATAGACCTTCTGACCTTAATATTTCATGCACCCACACACTCACACATGGTGTCCGTCGCAAATGAAAGACCCGATAACTTATTTGTAGAGAACATACTATTAAGAGAAGGATAAAAGATACAAGAAAAGAACATACATCATCAACACTCATTTCTGAGAGGAACTTCTGGCCCACAGGAAACTGGTTTCGACGTTTGGTTGTAAATCACCAAAATTAGTGTGTGCTACACAATTTGTCCTGGTTTTGCACCCTTGTCTTTTAGGGGGGATGTTCAAGAAGTTCTTTCTGTGCAGGCTTTTGCAGATTTTTTATTCCCACTGTATGCTGGATCTTGACACATCCTGCATCCCTATCCTTCTATGTAGTCTTTAACTAGAATCTTTTGCACCTAACGATTTTGATGTTTTAGATTTCAAGCTCCATCTTGTAAAATTCTTTATGCTGTTCAATTTCCACCAAGTTTCCTTGTTTACGACAAAGGCTCCTTACATATGATTTTGCTTTTAATTTTCATAGGTCATGTATTTGGGGAAGTAGCCAATCACTAATATGTGAATAGGGAAAGCATGCTGTAATCAAAATGATCATATTGGGCAGTGATCATAAAGCCCATCATTATCCAATAAATAGCTGGATGCTGATGGACATTGGTAATCAACCCATTGATTGAACAGTCATGTGCCTGATGATCACATGGTGACCCATATCCCTTTTTGGTTTTGCAGACAATCATGTATGGATCCATTTGATTAAAGTTTGTTGATGGCCTTTCTATAATTCTAGGCTTTCAAGCTGAAGTAGCCATCACTTGCATACTTCTGCATTGACTTGAATGTCCAAGAGTAATGAATGAGCCAATAGATTTTTGGCTTTGCACTGTATTTCTCCCTGGTTCTTTCATCTGACTTTTCCTTGTATTGTCTCTGATTTGTTAGTTTCTCCCATCAACATGTTTGCTGCCTGAGACCACTGGGGAAGAATCAATGAAAATAGTGAACAATTACAAAGTATTTAATGTAATAAAATTCTTGATAGATCTTTCTCCACTTGTATTTACTTGCGTGGTTAATGATGTGAAATGAAAACAAAAGCTGCAAAATATCACATAATACTAAAGTTTTCGTTCATGTCAGAAAATAATAAATAAATAATAATTTTCCCTTGACTAATCAAGGCACAAAAATGCATCCACCAGCTCATGGCTTGGATATCAAGAAAGTTGAAAATTTAAATTACTCTCTTTCATCATTTTCTTCTCCATAAATTATTTATTTGTCAATCAATTTTCATAAGTTGCATATCAAAAACTACTCACTGAAAAGATATTAACCATATGTCCTCCTATAATATGGAATTTGAGTTGCCCTTATATCTTTGTCTGGTGTTCAAAATGTGAATTTCTTTGCTTACATGAGTTCTACTGTTATCACTAACCTTGCCAAGTGTTGTTTTCTATGGCATTTAAGAATCTCATGTTATCTTAAAGATGTATCTCCTCCTTGACTATAAGACTTATGATTCATTATTATCAATAGAATTTAAATTACTGATGCAGAATCTGAAGGGCCACCCCAGAATATAAGGTCATGGGTCAGATTTCTCACTGCATGTTGTCAAGCAAGGTTTGTTGTACTTTTGCGTGATATAATTTGAGCATCTGACATTCTGCATCTTTTTGCCTCATGATACCATAGATATCATTTGGGCAGGTTTTCTTTGCATGCCCAATTCCCTTCTTACCATTTCGATGTGAAGAATTGTTGTTTGCATGAGTTACCATAGGAACCTGAGGCTTGTGTGGTTTTTCATGTAATACTAGTTGACCTTTATCAACTATTTCTTTATGCTTGCAGGAATATGAAAACAATGTTTTTGACCCATGAAGTGGAATATTTTCTTGGTGTGGTTATTAATTTCTTCCTAGACAGAAAGCTTCTTTGTAAGTCCAAGTTGTTGCAAGAATGCCTGCTCTCAGTTATGAGTTTTTTTACTGATGATGAATGGAAGGTCAGCTCTGAGAAGGTTTCAGATTCATTGGCTTGCCGGTATTTCCTATCATTTACAATCCTCATGAGTTGGCATTCTTTTTTGGGTTGTGTATATTCAAGACGGTTTACAGTGTTAGATCATTTGGTTACTTCTAAATGGATGACTAAGGCTTTCATCATTGTTGAACAAGACTCTCAGGGACTTCAAATCTAAATTATTGAGATCGGGGAAGCAAATCTTAATGGCATTCATAAATTTGCTGTAAAGTTTGTTCACTGTTTTTTTTTCATTTGTCTATACCATTAAACAAGTGAATGAGCTTAAAAAAGCATGAACACTTTAGAACTACTAGATTTTTCTCTATAACATAATTAAGTATTATATATATATGTGTGTGTATATATATATACACACATAGGAAAACTTTTCCCAACGCCTATAGGCGAAAATGAACAGTGATTTTGCCTACTCTTATCATCATCCAAACTTCATCGTATGGTCACAATTGTCCGATAGTGCTTCAATTTTTATTTTTTTCTACAAATCCAAATTACTTGAAATTTGGAACGTGTATACATCTTAATGAGATGCATCTAATAAAAATATGAAAAAAATAATTCGTAAAATATAAATTGATCAAAATAACCCGGAAAATTTAACTAGGCTATTTGTTTAATTTATTATTTGTTGTAATTATTTTTTATTTATTTTATTTAGGTTGTCGCCTCTA